TTCCTTATCAAGTCTGAAATGCAGAGATTGAATGTTATATATAACCAGAAATTCATATCCTGCAAAAATGCTTCAAATATGTGGAAACTATTTAAGGAAATCGCTGGTGGTAAGCAGATAAACAATATTCCGTATTCTTCTGATGCATGTACTCTTAATAAATCTTTTATTTATTCTCCCTCAAATTCCATGCTTCCCAGTATCACTAGTGTTAATAATAGCCCCTTTCCAGGTTTTAACACAAATGATGTTCAAAAGTGCCTCAAGTCTCTGAACCCTTCCCAGAGCTTAGGTTCAGATCATGTACCTAGCATTATTTTCAAAAAATGCTCTGAAATTCTGTGTTACCCTCTCACTGATCTGTTTAACAAATCTTTTTCCAGTAATATTGTGCCTGCTGTTTGGAAAGACATTAAAATTGTACGCATACCTAAATCGTCTACTGGAGCATGTGTCAAATTTAGACCCAGTGCTATTACCTCTCCTTTTTTAAAAACTATGGAGAAACTACTTTAACTTAGTCTTGTACCCTCTCTTAAATCCCTTAATGACCCAAAACAGTTTGCCTATAAGCACAGTAGAAGCACTTTAGATGCAGCTGCCGTCTTATATCATAACATTGCTTCCAGTCTAGACAAGGGGGCTAAATTTGTTCGTTGTGCCTTCCTAGACTATACATCTGCTTTTGACTCGGACCCTAGGGACATCTTATTAAATAAACTTGCTGCAAGTCAAACAGAATGTTGGGCTGTTAACTGGTTACACTCTTATTTCTCAGAAAGAAAGCAGTACACCGTGTATAAATGGAAGTCTTCCATTTGATTGCCTACTGAAGCTGGTGTCCCTCCTCAAGGCGCTGTCCTTTCTCCTTTTCTTTTTTCTTTCTTCTTAAATGACTTGCCCCAGTCTGATGAAATAAACTTTGTGAAGTACGCTGATGATTTAACTGTTTCAACGACTGTTAACTCCCAGCTAGATTGTACCAAAATAAATAGCTTTCTGTTGGGAATCAGTAAATGGTCTGAGTTTAACGGTCTTAAACTAAATCCTTCTAAATGTCAAACAGCTAATTTCAGCTTAAGATGTAAAAGACAGTTAAAAGAAGCCGTCGATTCTCATGACAGTTGTAAGATTGATGACAATGATATAGGAATTAAATCAGAAATTAAGTATCTTCGACTTATTCTCTCTTGTGATCACTCCTGGTCTTCCCATGTCTCAGCGATCTCCAGTAAAATATTCCGCCTGACATTTTACATTAAGAAGTTAAGGCACTCGGGTATAACTCAACCCCTCCTCTTACAGTTCATAAACTCTTGCATCCTACCTATTCTTCTTTATTGTTCACCCTTATTCTTTCCTGGTTTGCTTAAAAAGGACTATATCACAATTCGTAGAATGCCGAAGACGGTCAGTAGGATGAGTGGTGTCCCAGTGGACCACGTAGTTAACGTCGTTGTCGATAAGCATTTGACTTCGCGCAATAAATTTGCTAAAGGGATTTTTTCTGACTTGGAGCATCCACTTCACCCTCAGCTTTCACCTTGCATCTCCTCAGGTAGAACAAAAAGTAACTCCAGAAAACTGTATGCTAGCACGTCAAAGTATAAAAATTCTATGATACCATACTTGGCACGTATTTTATGTGATGAAAATAGCGTCAGGCAAGAATTAACTAACCTTTTATCATCCAGTAAATAAACAATTTCCTACATCCATGCTAATATACTTTCAGGTTTTACTTTTATTATTTCTATTATATTTATGGTCCTGTTGCTTCTTTGTTTTACGCTCATAATTGCAAACACCAACTTATCTCTATGACTGCTGTAATCTTTGCTTTTCCCCTCACCATATCATGTAAACAGAACATCATATTCAATATTTTTAATCATGCAAGGATTTGTATACCGCATCGACAATACTGTGTGAAACAAGCCCACGGCAATTTCCACTTGTATCATTGTCATTACCTTAGCTGCTATCATCACTATTATTTCCATTTAAATGCTCCATGTTTTCTATTTGTCTTTATATTAACCCTATTGTAAATGTAGAAAAATTTTCTGTGTGATAAATTTTATTTATAATTTGAGGAAATTAGATGCAATGTTGTGATTAATGCTGAAAATTCCATTCTGTATCACAAGTACTGTTTTTGGAATAAAGTAAATCATTATTATTATTCATACATTCACTTATACTGCCCTAGCTATGTTCCTATCAATCAAAACATCCCTTAAACTACCAATAAGTTACAATTTTTTCCAAATACATAGCTAACTGTTCGCAAGTGAAAGATTTTAATAACTCTATCAACTATAGAAATAACAATTTTCCAAAACTTAAGCACCTGTCTTCACTTTAATGGATAGTTCTAACCTTTGACTACTGCACTAGAATGCTTCGTTATATGCCCTCCCGGCTTGTGGGTAATGATAGTGTAAAGTGCTGAAAATTCATCGCGACAACAGGAATGTGCTGTATGTTAAAGCAATATAACGAATAGGCAAACGTCTATTCTAAGCGCACTACTCAATATGACATATGATAATAATAATAATTTATATTTTTATATAAACACAAATTTACATGAAAATGCATGCCTAATGTCCCAAACTCTGTAGCCCATAACATTCGAAAAAGTTGATATTCACTATCAACAAGTAGAATATTCATTTGAGGAATAGGAGATACATTTATTAGTGGTTTAACACAGAATACAAAATCAACGATACTGGAAGCCACTTCCTTCAGCAACAAACCCCATGAGGTCACCAAAATTACCGAGTAGCTAAAAAAAGAGTTTTCAAGGGTTCACAAGGGTGTACACATGAATATTACTATTAATATAATACCTAACAAGTTAACATGGTAAGAATTACTAGAAATTTATAACAGTGTGCGATTACATCAGTCACTATTTTTGACACAAATGGATATTTAGACAAAGCTATAAGAAGGCGTAATTTGTCTGAACCGTGTAATGTATTTGCTTAGCAAATTCTGAACAATCTGATTACACACGGGCTTCTCATAGGAATATATATGAAATTAATACACAGTCAAGAAGTGAGAAAATAATTTTGGGCGCACACCTCAGATACCTTTACGTACCTGACCACGACGAGGTTATTCATATCCAGCAAATTACTTGAATATGTTGTAATGTGCATTCAACTCAGTTAGAATTTTTGGAAGAAAACAGCGAATGTCAAAAGTGTTCGCAAAACATGTTGCAGTTACTGTGCCTATATGAACACCAATTTTCGCTTATATCTATTCGTTCCATTGACTTTTAGCAATCAAAACACACAAAAGTGCAGAAGGACAAATTCAATAACAGCCATATTCTCCAGTTCCTGCAACACAAATACGTACTGTACAACAACTGATCACAGAATTTACAACTGATTACAGGTTGTCAGCAAGCTGCTAAGAAATTTTTCAACAGTCAGCCATCGAAATGTTCACGAACCACACAGGGCATACCAAATAATCATAGCATGAACCACATATTTAGGCATCCTGCCACACAGACAATATGCCAATGCTTAAGAACAAAATCAAACAATAATTTCCATATAAATTCACCCAACTGGAGCCAAATGAGGACCAAAATCCCGTCAGCTGCATTTGCCTAGACAACCAGCCCTAACTCGAATTAACTAAGCCGCGCAATTGCTGACAAGGTGAAGCTAGTGGCGCCACTTCAAATGGGGGGATATGCCATAAAATCGCTCAGAAAATGGACACAAGCTTGAATAACACGGGTGATTTTGTGAAGGCACATGTGATTACGCACTTTACGCATAGAGAATTAGGTGTTTCCACTCCTGAGCTCCTTCTGGGGTTATACAAAACATATGTAGGACAACACTTTGAAATGCATAACATTACAGCTCACTCGTTACCCAGAGGGGCCACTGGTCTTTTAAAAATAGCCCAAAGCAGTGATGGGTCTCCAAAATAAACCGTATGAATAAGAGATGAGGGAACTAAATTTCTTTCCGCCCAAATACCGTCAATTTGGGAGTGACTTAGATTTTGCCTTTAATATTACAAACGAACAGAATCACCTAAACAAAGGCACTGCGCTGCTTAGTACTTGTGGGCTTCCTCGTGGCAATCCACGAAGAGTAGTGCGTCAAAGAACTAAGTCTCCAGCGCGCACACATATCTTACTTGAAATTTTCCGCCCCTGGAACTCTCTAACAACAGATGCAGCCAATGTATCGTCCGTAGAAAGTTTTGAGAGGGGGCTGGATAATCATGCAGTGGCACAAGGACTGCGTACAAACTGTCTGTCCCCTTTAGACTTGTACAAACTATTGGTGGGTACACACCTGTTACTATCCATTCTTCCATACCTTACTCTTCTGAATACTCTTCCTGTTCACTCTCTTATATCATAACTACCTTTATGTATACGTATTATTATCAATTTTCATTATCCATTTGTTTGTGCGTTTCCCTTTTTAAGTCGACATAATTTGCACTAATTCTATTTATTATTATTACCTCTACTTTCGACCATAAGAGACGACTAATGGGTGATAGGATAGACCTCAATCACAGTAGTGACGAAGTCCTAACACGTCGCATACTACGAACCACATATAATCAATTGCTTTCGAAGTCAACTAGAGCTACAACGGGATGATGAGTGATAGGACGAACAAAGCGGATGTTAACCGGAAACCAATAACCTCTACCTTATAGCCAAGAAGCCAGCGCAGTTGCTCGTGAAAAAGATACTGTATATTGGTTAACAGTCTAGCAAGGTCTAGAATGACAGACCTAGCTAGGCGCATTAGTCGATAAAGTCATTCGACCCTTGTCATGCATGCACTTGTTTATGACCATACAATACGGTGAAGGCAGCTTCTCAAGTTTATGAAAGTTTCATCTGACTATTTCATTCGAAATGTTTTTGAGTAAAAACCAAGTACATTTTTTTGTTTTGTTTATTCGACAGTGGGTTTCGGCCTTAACCTACTTTTCAACTTGAAGGTCAGTGGGCGGTATTTTCTCCGCTTAGTTAGGTTTCCGTTATTGTGTATTCAGTTAGTTGGGATTTTCCCATTCATCTTCGCTCTTATTAATATAAGTGGTATGTTTTGCCTCTAAAAGACTTTATTAATGCCTAGATTAAGTTAAGCTGACAAAGCATGATGGCACGTGCCATGTGTGGCATTGCAGTGTACTCTACTAAATTATGTGAGATTCTAAAATGTTTAGAGAATGAGGTGCAATTTTTGCCTGAAAACATATTGCACATATAAAAATGAAGTAGTTGGATAAAAGTTTTTGTTTTCGTCACATTTTAATCATCTAAAGCTCCGAATAACCCACTCGTCCGTGGAAACGTAAATTCCTTGTGCATATTCTTCATTGGGTAATTTTATGGATAGATCCTACAGGGTGTTAGTTTGTTAACTGGCCAAACCGTACTATGGTGGTCCAGGTGAAGAGTTTTACTTATAACTATCAATTGATAGTTGTTTCTTAAATAACCATTGATGCTGTAGAAGCTAACCTAGGGAAAGTGAGTGAATTTAGAAAAAAAGTTTGTTAAAAAGATCTTGTTTCTAAAAGTCCTATAAAAATAAACCAAAATTTCTCATTAATATGTCAATGCAAATATTCAACTATATCGTATTCTTGTATTAATCGAAAGTGCTACGTGCCAAATCCTTTTGGGTCCCGTAAATAGCTCGTATTCTGCTTTTAAAGCTGCCGTGTATGGAGTTTTGCTCGAACCCAATTGCTCGGGAGAGATCTTCCATATATCAGGCCAAAAGCTACACTTATTGTATGATGGCTGATAATGCCATCATATGCGTATGTAGGTGACAATATTCCTCTTGAGAATGTTTTGCTCGATTCCTCTCCTCAGCATTATGTCAAATTGATTTGCTTCTGATCGTCTTCATTTGTGTGCTCTTTTTATCACGCCAACTAGTAGTAATGTCACTGTTCATGTTCCCGTGTTTTGACTAACATTGCAGTAGATAAGAACACCAGTAACTTATATCATACACTATTTTCCTGAGTGTAATTCTTGATTACAGTATCAACAACTTTTTGCACCACTTCAGTTTGTAATTGGTTGCTTCAAAATAACTTGTAAGGCACAGTTCTGCAGAATCACAGTTTTTAGGGTGCCATCTTGAATAATCTTTGATTAAGAAATGGGTCTTCTTAAATATCCACTTGCACTTTTGTAGCAAAACGTTAACGAAGTTATGAGCGTGGGTGATTGAACATTGTAAACTATTATAAGCCGTTTAATGTTTTCTAAATCGTTATTATAAAAATTACCTAGCACTTTTATCTTCATTTTTTCGCAGGATGTAATTGAACAGCCGACTGTTGGCACAACTGTGAAGCCGTCGGAGCAAGAAAAGAAGTCCTGTAGCATAAACCTTTGAACACGTCATCTCATTTTCCTTACGAATTAGCATTCAAAAAGCTAGTGGCGGTGTAAAAGGATGATAGCCACTAGAAAACCACGTCGGGAATCTGCTAAATTATGCCTTCAGGCCATTGGTGGAATAACAACTCAACAAGAGTTTGATGATAGTTCCATCTCTGAAAACATCGAAAGTGAAGCGTCCGATTATATTGCTGAAAGTGAAAACAATGACGTTTCCACAGACGACAGTGATTTTAGTAGCGAAAATGAAGCTGATGTGTCTGGTGATTGGAAAAATCCGTCATCAAGCTCATCACCGACAGGATCTGTCATTGATGAACCACTTCCTAGACCATTGTCAAAAAAAGCTCGCCATTCTGGCTTACATGACAAAACTTATTTAAGATCTCCATTTGTAAGATATATGAGAGCATGCCGAGGACGTATAGATCGTGATCCCAAGTCTATAGCTCCTGTGAAATTCCAACAGGCGATAGAAGCATTAAAATTCACGTTTCGTAATATACAAAACCCATTTTTGTGTTGTCCCAGGTAATCTTTGTTTGATTACTTCATGTCCTATTAGCGGGCATAAGTCACAGTTCATATGCCGGCAAAATGCTCTGTTCCCAACATCAGGGGCATGGATAAGAACACCTATCCAGTAAGTTGTTTATTTGCCTTTGTTTAAACTGCATAATCGCCTAGCGTTAAGAAAGACTACTTACCTGAGCCATATGTCAGCCCTATATATCTATCCGATCAAATGAACCGAATCAAATTAAAACGATTCGAATTTGATGATGGTATGCCATTTTCAGTTTTAATCATTTTATATCAGATTCCAATTTGGTCTATGTTGGAGGGGAGGTAACTTGTTTATCCTGGTGTCCTCCACGTCTGTCTTCTTTACTGGAATCTGATACAATTGGAGATGAATGTTCTTTTCTCGCAACAGCTTCAATTCTAACACCGGATTCACATACACTGTACTCTGATGATATAAAAAGCGGTCCAGGAACAATACAGATATGGAATTGTGGAATTCTGGGTTTAACAAAAGTGTATGTCTACTTTTTATTTAAAAAAGCTGCATATAAGTTGAAAATTTTTGTATAATTTTTCTTCTCTTTTTATGTTTGAATTCATGTATTTAAAATGAAATTGAGTACTGCGGAGACAATTAAAATATAATTTTTAGATTTTGTTTTGTTGTGGGTATATTCTCTGGTCGCTTACTGTCAAATGTTTGTTTAAGCGGCATTTAATAAGAGGCTTCTAATTAAATTCAAACTACTTTTGAATTTTCAGTAATATGGTGAAAACTTATGGATACTATTGCTCGAAGCTCATACCTGACAGTTGTCACAAGGATTTTAGCGAAAGCACTATAAGGATGATTTTACGTCTGTATGGTGATCGGTGAGCATAAAACTATGTGCCTGAATCACAAGGATTGATGAAAGTGGCATTGCTGACTGCTTTTGAGGAATTTGTTGTTATTGTCCAGAGCAAAGTGAATGTTTGACTTGAGTTGTACTATTGTGTGCGTCGGTGGCACAGCGGTTAGGATTCTCGCCGACCAAGCACATGGTCCGGGGTTCGATTCCCTGCCGACGCACACCTGATATCAATGGTTGGCCTGCGAAATTTGGGCTACCGGTATCACATGCTGAAAATTCCATACTTGTACCAAAAGTACGGTGTGGAGTCAAGCTATAATCAAAATAAAAAATAAATTGTCTATCTTTAGTCATATCATGTAGCTTTTAGCTATTGGTCTCACTTGCCTCATCTACTTAGCTCAAAGTAAAAGTTAAGTTTCAAAAACTTGTGCTAAACTTCGTCGCAAACTAATCCTACTGCAGCTAGAAAGGTGTGTTGAAGTTTGAGGTGGTTGGATAATGCATTAGACAAGTATTAGCTATCTAATTTGAGTAAGATATACAATTCCAACAGTCCTTTTTCATTGCTTACACAAAACTGTACAGTCTATCTCTAAGCTGAGTTGAGAATTAACATAAAAATTTGCACAGGCGTACAACAGTACAAGTTGGCACATATCGAAAAGCACATAAAACAAACAAAAACAGAATTGTGATGATACTACAATGGATAAACTTCTACGGTGGATAGAATCCAATGAAATATGACTATGTTCAGAATTTTGTTAATGAGAAGTAAAATATATCTGCGCTATTGTCAAAGATTTGGGATTATGCCAATAAGAATATCCAACCCCCAGTTCTTGGCATGCATTGGCTTCATTACACCTAAGAAATTGAGCAGAGATAATTTTGATTTTGTTGTTTTATAGTTACCGTTGATGCTTCAGATTTTCGTAAGCTAGATTCTCACATGTGTAAAAAAAGTGTTTCTGCTAAGTTTTTTAAACTCTGAAATCTGCGCTCATAGATGAGGTTTTATATATCAATGCAATAATGTGAGTGTATATGCCTCCATTATGGCATACAACCGCAGCAGTGGGTTGCAACCGTAACCTCTCTACTTTTGTTTGATATTATGTGTCAGACATGTTTAAAACCAATTAATGCCTCCTTATTTGCAAGTTTACTCCTATAATCCTTTCTTTCTGACTATGCATTATCTTTTTTTGATATATCTAATATTATCATATTTCGGGTTACACGTGTCTGTTAGAGAAGATAATGTATTAGGTCTGTGGATTGACTGGAAAATATTCGATTTGGGATTCCTTCTAGCTGGAAGATTACCAAATGAGAATTTGTCGTTGCACACCTATGTTATTGCTACACTCACAACACTAGCATGATAATATTAATAATCGCTGGATTATTGTCTTCATTACTAATTTGAAAGTAATGTTTACTGTAGGAAGAGGGAATATTAACGGGAAATACTGCTATTCATGTAGATACTTTACAGAACCTATTACTGAAAAGTTTAATACGGAAAATTTCCTCCTATACTTTGGTTAACAATGGATTAGTAAACTGCCAAGGTTACAAACCGTTAACTTAATTGGAGAATTGACGTAGTTTCTCTATTATCCTTGCTGACCAGTTGGCATCTTGAATAAATCAAATAATAAAATGCCATTCGTAACACTGTTTCAAAATGTTTTATTTAAGCACTTGGACACTGATGCTTCATCTAAAACGCTCGTAGTGAAGCAGTACACTATTGTGTTTGAAAGGGAGAGAGTAGATGTCTAACTCAATGATATAGGCGCTCAACATTCAGTCGGATAATCGTGGGTTTGAATGAGAAACCAGTTAGTTTTTGCTGTGAACCATTGATTATTATTATTCATAGTATTGTTGCTCAATACTTATCTATTGGTTTGACGAACGTAAGTTGTTTCTTTTACATCCCAAGTGTGAAGGTAACCACACAGTAAGAAGAATTCTTCTTCTTTGCTACAAATATATATATATATAATTTTGCTTTATTCCTTTTAACCACATTTTAATTGTTTGCCTTTTTCCTATTCATTGTCAGGTCAAGTAACTTAAAGCCTGAAATCCACTTTATTATTACACATGATTGGGGTCGAGTAATTGATATGTGTTGGGTGCCAGTTTCACCCTTTTCAGGTATTAAAGAATTAAAGGCGAAAGCTTGTCTCTATGGTTCATATATGACAACTATTCCAGAAGCAGAGAGAGTTCTTGGTCATTTGATTGTTGCCTGTCAAGATGGCTTTATTCGTGTCTTGTCTATACCAACTTGTCCTATGAATTTTGGATGTGAAAATTCAGCAGCTTCAGCATTTGCTTATACACTAGCAAAAAACTGTTATCTTACATTATCTCCGTCTATGTCAGGTATTGTTATACAGGTTATTATGCTTTTTTGTTGTTGGGGGTGTTATGTATACGCCGAAAGTGTTGGATTTAAATTTATTATAACTTGTAGTTGTATCTCGATTTTGTCCCACTGAAGGTTTATCAGTAAAATATATGTTGAACTATGTCCCATGGAGTCAAAACCACACAGTTATTACAAACTGTCATCGTAATTCGACTGCCAACAGGTATATTTCGTCGCCAAAAGTAGTAATGTTATTCAACACTAATGGATGTTGTGCTCGGCTACATTCTTCGTTAGCCTCATCTTTCAATTAAAATTAATGTGGGCAACTTGTTTTGCACCATTATGGATGAGATTTTATTTTGATAAGTCACACAGTTACACAGTAATGTTAACTGATGACGTTTCGAGCACAAATTATTGCTCATAATCATATCAAGCTACTCACACAACTACACACACAACAAACCGAGCAGTAACACTAAGTAGCACGAAAAAAGACCTAAATGATGAAATAAAACAGATAGAAGAAGCGTTGGTATTAAATAACTATCCTATAAAATTCATTAGGAAGATCGAAAAAGGCCAAAAGCAAAATAAAAATAATGGTGAAACTAGTAGTGATAACATAAATAAGAAAGAATATGTCATCTACTGTTATACCATATAAAGAGGGGACATCTGAGACCCTACGTAGGATTCTGAATAAAGCAGGAATTAGGTTGGTGGCATTCAAACCTACAAACTCACTCAGAGACAAGCTCTGTAGGCTAAAAGACCTGGTGGACCCCATTAAACAAAATAATATAACTTACAAAATACCCTGCAATGACTCTGAGTTAAGTCAACTACATAGGTCAGATTGTTGGAACATAAGAATTTAGCTTAGGTAAGAATGGTTGACCCTAAGAAGATAGGTAATTTAGAGAAAAGCTCAGCGATTGCACTGCATGCAATAACACACAACCACACAATAGCGTGGGACAGGGGTGAAATTCTAAGAAGTAATCTATGTAGGTGGAGAGAGAGGTTGATTACTGAATCCTTGTTCATTGAGTCTACACTCAACACATGCAACAGAAATGACTCAATGCGAATACCAGAGATATGGAAGATATTATTACCGCCAGTCAAATCAGAAGAGGATAATAAATAATCTCAAAATTCTATTTCAATTCAAGTACATCACAACATTCTAACAAGTTACTTATTATGACTATAAAAACACTCGTCTTATTTCCCATCTGATTGTAATTGATCAATAACACTTGTATTATTATTTCTGAATGTACATTATGGTATAGTGATTTCTATTCAAATGTCTAATCAATTCCACTCATGTATATAAATGAAGCAAAAAGTCATGTGAGTGACTTGATATGATTATGAGCAGCAATAATTTGTGTTCAAAACGTCGTTATCAATTAATATTACTGGACAACACTGTGTGACTTATCAAAATAAAATCTCATCCATAATGGAGTTATACTCTACCACCACAGTGCCCAAGTTGTATACTTATATCAATAACTTGTTTTGCATTTAGGACTTATATTTCTGCTTCACTATAAATATACTCAGCATCTATTTCAGTAGTACAATGTATTTCATGTTTCCGTTGATTACAGTATTTACTTGATTGGACTATTCACATTTGAAGTCTTATTTAAGGTATAGTTATGACCATAAGCCTTACTTTATGTGAAGATGAGTAGAATGGTGATCATCAGTGGCGCTTTATAAATGTGCAATGATACGAGGAGGTCTTAGAAATTAAATTTGTTCCTACAAAGTGTTTCTGCGTTAGAGTCTTCAGTGTTTATACAGAACATTCACGATTAAAATCAAGCACTACAAAATAATTTTGTTTGATTCAATTAAGTTTGTATCTGCTTCCATCTCTCAGGTTCGTGTATCTACGAGTCTGTGTTAATGATGATGGGGAAAGTGTGAGATGATACCGAAATCGTATACACTGATCTTAGACACTTCTGACTGTACCACGATCTTAACCCATCTATTAAAGATCTCTTGCAAGCAGCTTGGCTGTATGCGTGTAAAGTTCAATTCTTTAGAAGTGTAAACGCTCGACTACAGTTAATGTTCAACCACTGCTGTTACTGTAGGACTGCTTGCACTCAACAGCAAATTTTTGTGGATAGTTCCGAAATTTGATGACACACTTCGAAATATAGTAGAGGTTTCTATTTATTTAGTGAATTTTTCTACATTGATTTCAATATCTTGGCAAGTTTTACGCATATCAGAAGCTTTTATACCTTCTATGCTTCCTTGACACTGAAGATGATTGAAAAGAGTGAAGTCTTAGGTCCGACTAACATCTACACTTGCACATTCCGACTGTTCGAATGTGTGTTTCAGTATTTCTGCATTATTCAAAACTTGAGCTATATGTCATTCACTGGGTTAGCAATTTTCTTGGTGTGATTTGCTTTTACCGTCTAATTGGCAAATGAGATAAAATTTAAAATTTAGTACACTACTGGACGAATTATTCTTGATCCTGATTTTATGCAAATTACCGCTGTAACTTCACCTGACGTTGCTTTATTATTTCTCGTTCCCTTTGCCGTGGATGTTGTTCATTTTACTGTTGATTTTTTAAATTATTAAAGCAAGATAGCTGTAGTATGAAACGGGTGATGAGGAACTCATGCAATTTGATTGTGACGTCGTTGAACTGTTCGTTTCAATAAGTTGGAGTGGAAATCATTTCTTTATAAGGTGTCCTATTTCACACTGAAATCAGTTTGGAGATCTGCTGCACTCATCGTTAAGTCGATTCTTCTATATGGATGAGGAACTTAGTGGGTCACCAAAAGTATTCCCAACAGGCTAATACAGACCTTTATCAACAGACGCCTCCTTTGCTCTATAATGGCGACCAAATGGCCAGAAAGAATTAGCAACAAGAGACTCTGGAAACGAACCAATCAAGGACCTATTTCTGATCCAACATATATGCCGATAAAAATAGAGGCGGATCGGACACACACTGAGGAAGATCGTAGATTGACATCACGCCCCAGGCAAACCCTCAAGTGGAAACCGAATGGAAAGCTATGACTTGGGCATGTGTGGTATAAGGGTGACATGGAGAGATCGTAGAAGGAGAAGGAGGATGAGAGGCTATGGGCAGTCGTGGAGACAGCTAAAGAGGACTGCAGAGAACAGGACAAAATGGAAATGTGCTTTTGAAGCCATATGTCCCATTCGGAACCCAGGAGAATAATAATAACGACTAAGTTGTCCTATTGTAAATCAGACAATCCCTGTGAGAATATACATTTTATAATGTAGATTAATGAATCCTACATTTTCAGATAGGCTAACAGATGCTTAACTAGGTGGTATTAGAACAAAACGTTATCTTGTCTGTCTGTCTGTTTTCAACATAGGACTTTGCACTAATGTACCGCTGTTCAAGCCGCCACACTCCATGTAGCACACATCGGCAGAAGGAATTAGAAATGCAAAATAGAGACAGGAGTGGATGCACCTGCGCCATCACTGAGAACGATTTTGAGCCATATCACCAATTGTCTCCAGCGATTGGTGTTTACTGTCCCGTGGACCCCAACCAGGAAATGTACGTGATTGGCTTAAACTAACTGTCGTGGATTTCATTAATTGATGAAGCCATGTTGTGGTTTAACCACCGCTAGATATTTTCCAACCTGATCCATCCTATGTCAGCTAACATTGCCTGTAGGTCGAGGAAGGCGATGACTAGGCATACATAACACATGTCCTAACCATCTCAGTCGATGTTGCTTCACAGTCTTGTCTATTGACTTCCCCTCCTTACCTAGCACTCGACGCCTAACCTCAGTATTGCTTACCCTACTATACCACTTAACACGGGAGATAGAACGCAGGCACCTATGATCGAAGACAGCTAATCTTTTCATGTCTTCCACTCTCAATGGCCAGGTATCAAAGCCATAAGGGAGCCATATTTCATATTCTTATTTGGTCATCGCATGGTGAAGGTTCAATTCACGAATGGGATATAAATCTTTCTAAATAGAGAGAGATACGTCTTGCTAAGAATTGTCACTAAGTACTAAACTTAAGTAGTGAACTGGTGGCACAGCGGTAAAATGCTCGCCAATCACGCATGTGGTCCGGGGCTCGATCCCCGGCCAACGCACTCCTTTACCTTGCTAAGCCAGTAATAAAACTGGGAAAGAAGGAAGGTTTGACATAAGGTTAGCAATCCCACCCCGTAAAAATAAATACCACTGCTACAGAAACTTGAAGTCCTATGTTCGACTGGGAACGTAAAGGAATAGAAAAAAACACACGACTAAACTTAAGTAGGATATGACTTCTTGTACTAAACTATTTTTATGATTATTTTATTTCATTCATTATTTACAGAAAATCCTCATTGGTTAGGCTGGCCAACTTGTTTACATATTCGTCGTGAATTTCCTGATCGCCTGTTTGCTGGTTATACAACAGGTAAATAAACAATTTTATTGGTCAATTTATTTGTAGTTTTAATTAAAGACATAGATTCGTTTTCTAAACAAGACAGTAATGCACTTCTGTTTTATTGCTAATATGATTAAGCATGTGTTTAAACAGCATCGTAAAGTCGAGGAAGAGAGAGAGAGAGTAGAAACCATTAATAATTGATGTTACATAGTGACAATTTCAGTGAGTCACTTGTCTATAACTTCAAAAAATAAAGCTTCTGCAAATCAGATATTGATTAAGCATAGAAAATATCTGGAAGCACATTTAATGGGTTGCTGATTACGTCTTAGGTGGGTTCCAACGTTTCCTTTTTTGGCGAATGGAAGTGCAAGACCATGAATTGTATAATGGCAGCAGTATTAAAGTTTTTTCACTTCATTTCATCGTTTATTTGGACTGAATTTATCCCATTTTGTCATTTTATCCACTAAGTAGATTTTCATTGCGATAGATTAACTAGTTCAAAAAATGAATTACTTTTTCGAAAGAATGGATACTGAACAAAGAATACTCTTTTCGATAACCTCTTCTTCATCAGGCTGTACATTTATATATACATTATAGTAAATGAATGAACTAGTGTTATGAACAACATTAATGCTGTTTAAATAACATCAAATCAATAATAATATCAATAGATTACAGTTCAATGGTATCAACATAAAATAAGCTGAATGTCAGAAAAATTAGGAGAGATAATATTACAAATTCATGAATTTATAGTCTCTACTGAAGACCTGCAAGGGCAGTAGTAGTAGCTGGATTTGCTTCTATTGAACACAGAGCACTGGTTGTTTGAGGCGAATTGCAATAGCCTCTGCTGTTTAGAGCATGCGGTGCTTCGATGATTTTGGTAATTTATTAGGCACCCGATAGATGATATAGAAAGATTCTTCTACGCTGGCTTTGTGGCCGGTTTGCACCAGATGGTCCAATATCGAACTGTTAATGGTTTTCACTGCACCTTTACTTAGCCATACTGGGAGATGTTCTCGAGAGTGCACGAAAAATCAAGTTCCTAGAGCAAAGACAAATATAACTCGCTCCACAAGCGCAGTTGAATTGGTAGATGCAATTTGAAGTGTCTAGTCTAGGTACTTCATCTTTCAGTCGAGGTAGCACCCTCTGTCGTGTATAGAATAAGACGTGTAGTTCGCCAGCATTAAAAGTTCTTTGAACTGATTTTCTTAATTTCCTCGTAATTATCTCGCTTGGTATATCGCCCATGAATTGTAGTCGTATATAAAGAGGCTTCTTGTTAACGGATAGTGAGTAGTCCTTTTCCGCTTTCTTTATCATGTGTTTTTTGATAAAATTTTCGAGATAGCTATTTTCGATCAAAATATCATATACAATGCCCTATTCACCTTCAATTACTTCTTCTGAGCATATAGCTCTAACTCTGTGGCTGAGGGTCTTCACTAAATTTCTTTTGTACCTGATAGGAACGAAGCTGTGAAAATGTGTATATTGTATATCCTTTTTGATCGTATGGTCTTACATTTTAACTGAATGCTCATACTCCGTATGCATGTATTTAAATGGCAATAAATGCTAATTACTTGTCATTTAGTTCATTCAATTCAATTATCTATTAGGATACCGTCTCAGCTATAACTTTGCGTCTACTTGTTAGTAGCTATTGTGTATATGCGGTGGTCCAGTGACAGAGTGAGTACTCGCCAACCACTTATGTGGTCCAGAGTTCGATTCCCAGTCGACTCACTTTTATACCTCGCTTAACCGGTAGTAAACATGACAAAGAGGGAAGGTCGGGGGTGAGGATATCAACCATATGACGACCAAAACTGACTTGTTGTACTCTGAACCCAGGAAACCGATTGGTCAAACTTCCTTGAACCACTCACAGTCCCAAGACGCTCCAAAGACAGGAAAAAACGGTCATTCGTCGTAAAATCTACGGTTTTATTCAATGATAATGACATTGAAAATTCAAATTTATCCTCAACAGTGCCGTTAGACATCTATATAGGCTAAATAAGTTTCTAGTACAAAACAAGTACTGTAGAATGAAATTACTTGAATCCACCTATAAGAAGCACTTTAGAACCAAGTAGAATATTCTCAACAAGGTGGGTTGAAAACACTGTCAGCAAGAATCACACTGGCAACTCCTGCAGATAGTCCAAGGTCAGAATAACTTTAATTCACTCGAACTGAATACATTTATCCTCCATGCTTCAGATGCATAATAAGCAGTCACCCTTATATACCTGGAGGATCATTCCCAGTACAACCAGGCTTCCCGCTTTCCATTCTATCTCCCTCCGTGACTTTGTATGAAAGATAGTCTTATTATGATTCCCTTAGGTTCCGAGTGGAAAGTAGGGCTTCAACAGTACATCTCTATTCCAATCTGTTCTCCTCAGTTCTTTTTGGCCGGCTCTACGATTGCCCAAAAGCTTTTGTTTCATCCAACTCGTCGTTTTCCATTTGGGTTCCTCTCGAGGATTTGCCTGCCACTTGATGTCACTCAACGGTCTCCTCAGCGTGCGTTCAATCCACCTCCAGTTTTTGCAGCATATTATTCGAGCAATAGGTTCTTGGCTAGTTCGTTCTTAAATTTCCTTGTTGCTAATCTTTCCTGACACACCATCTGATCTTCAGTATGGAGGGAAGGCAGCTGTTGATAAAAGTCTGCAGCTGGCTGTTGGAAAGGCTTTTTATGAATTCCGAAGTCTCTGAACCATATGGAAGAAGTAAATTGACATTAGCATTACAAGTAGGATTCTTGTTCTTTGTGCTGAGTGTAGAAAATTTCCTCACTGATTTCAGAGTGTTAAAGGTATGTGTTGTCTTTCCGATCCTGGTCTTGATAATCTTTATCCGTACCGGCTGTAGTTGAAACGCGGCTCCTTAGATAATTTCTTCCGTCGGTGGTGCTTGTTGTTGTTGGTTAGTCATCTGTATCTGCCTTCTCTGTCTTCTCTAGAAAGATAGTCTACGAATTGTTATTTCTCCTTGCAGAAATAGGTCTCTTGTTAAAAGTTTGCAGCATTTTAGAAAACAGTAGAACTAACTACTCCATACAATGATTATAATAAAATCATAAAATATTAACTGGTAAATTATAACTAATCACTTTTCAGTTTACTAGAATCAGAAATGACACCGATGAAATAATTAGCAGCTTAAAGTTCTGTCTGGAGAGTAATTATTTTGCATTTAAAGGGAATTTATGTAGACAAACAAATGGTGTTACTATGGGTTCACCAGTTCCCCCAATAGTCGCTAATCTTTTCATGAATACATGTGAATATAACATCTTTTCATGCATAATCACACCTAAAATTTGTCTGAGATACGTTGATGATACTTTTGTTGTGCTAAAACGAGTTAACTCTTGGAGAAACTGAACAATCTATCCCCCAGCATCCAGTTTACTTCGGAAGCAGAATCAGACGTTGGTGAAATACCATTTCTAGACTGCCTAGTTAAGAGGAGGGAAAACGGATATTTTAATATATCTATATTCAGGAAGAAAACCCACTCCAGCAAATATTTAGACTTAGGGTCATCACATCCCATCAGTGCAAAGGTATCAGTTGTTTCAAGTCGTCTTAGACGAGCACGCTCTTTGATAACAGATGAGAAGGAAAAAAAAGAAATATCAAACATTACTGAGACTCTCAAACAAAGTTACTACCTAAGGAACTCCAGCAACGAAATCAATACTGACATTGAATATGGTCAAAAACGTATTCCGAAAACATGGGCCCCAATAGTTGTCATTCCATATAGATCAGAGACGTCAGATGATATCAGAAGAGTACTCAATCAGCTCGACATTAGAGTTTTCTTCGCAACATCAGACACACAACGAAACAACCTTGTCCATATAAAAGACCAGATCCCTAAAGATTCTCTATCTAATTGTGTCTATAAAATAAAATGCTTGGAATGTGATACGATATACATCGGACAAACATTGCGAGAAATCAAAATCAGAAGAAATAAACACCGTAGAGCCTCTATTCGATCATCGATAAATCCAGTCGAACTAGAAAAGCTTGAAAAATCATCAGCCATGGATGGTCTACACGCTATAGAATCAAGCCAAAAAATTGATTTTGACAATATTGAAATAATCCATAAAAATTTCAGAAATCACAAAGAACGTCTAATATCAGAAGCACTTCATATCAAGTGGATTCCAAATTGTCTGAATAGGAATGATGGACTAAAACAGAATCTGACCTGGTTACAACATCCTACCCCACTCCCCATAAAATGACAAAATCAACACGAATGTGATAAGCAATTTCATTATGTAAACACACGCTGCCTTTTATAAATTTTATAAATCCAACAGTAATCTACACCTGGTTTTGTTATCTTTACCAATTGGCCAATTTGACAACGCAAAAATTACCCCATGCTGAGGAACGATGATTAAGTTTTTATATATAAGCTGAGATTTTGTAAATTCTGGTTTAATAATACTTTGATAAAGCTATTAGCAGCATTAAATAGCGAAACGTCAGTAAAAACAATATCGTTTTGTTTTCCATTCATTGGGAAATACAAAAACCTTTATTATAATGAATATCATATACCTAATGCCCAAATTTTTTCAAACTGTTAAATGTGAACTTGGTTTGGACATATATAATACTAAAATGATCCAGGAAAATATTAGATGGTTGGAGACAATCGGCGGGAAGCCTTGAACCAAGGTATATACCTAGGTGGAACAATTCTCCTGAGTAATTTCCTATAATTTCATAAATATATTCATATAAGTATAAAACTTGGACACTGTAATAGACCGTTTTTCTTGGACCACTGGTCAAGGAAAACGGTGTTACCTTAAACCCCTCCAAATGTCAAACAGTCAATTTCACCTTTATGCATAAATCTGACCTAAACAAACTGGTTAGCACTCACGAGGTGTGCAACATAGATGGCACTGAAATATAAACCAAGTCGGAAATTAAATACCTAAGCGTCATTCTATCTGCTGATCTTTCCTGGTCGTCTCATATCTTGATGATTTCTAAGAAAATATTTCCGTCTTACCTTCTACATCAAGAAGTTAAGACATTCTGGTATAACCCAACCCTTACTCCTACAATTCGTTAACTCTCGCATTCTGCCTATTATTCTCTATTGTTCCCTCTTAGTTTTCCCAGGGCTACTGAAGAAAAATTATACCTTATTACGCAGGATGTTAAAGGTTGTCAGCAGGGTAAGCAACGTGCCACTTAACCAGCTTGTTAATATTCTGGTTGACAGGCACTTGGACTCATATGAAAAATAGGCTAAATCCATTTTATCTAACTCCCACCACCCTCTTCATTCACAACTCTCCCCTTGTATCTCATCACGCAGAACCAGAAGCCTATATAGAAAACTATATGCTCGCACTAGCGAGTACAAAAACTCAACCATACCCTACTTAGCTGGTGTTCTGTGCGATAAAGAAAGCATTAGGCGTGAAACTTATAACTTATTAAATAGTCAGTAGAACAATTGGATCTCGTCTTTCCAACTCATATCATTTATAGGTACAACGTTTTCTTCTTTCTTTTCTCTCTCTCTTTTTTTCTGTTATGTGCAGCTTTGTTTCTTTTTTCCTTACAAACTCTATTAAAACATTCTTCTTCGTTCTTTCACACTCTGTATATCTCGACCTTTTCGTTACTGCTTACGCCAGTAAATATGCTAGTATCTACTTTTCTAACACCTTCAAACACTCTGTTCATTTTCGGCTTTGCTACCGACATGCCAATATGTTGTTGTCATAATGAATTGAGATTACCTTAATCTATGTAGAATTTTATTTATCGATAATGTACTAACTGGATGCAATACTGTAGTAAAAATGCTGAAAATTCCATTCTGTATCACAAGCACTGTTTTGGAATAAAGCAAATTATTATTATTATAACTCCATTATAGATAAGTTTTTATTTTGATAAGTCACACAGTGTTCTACAGTACTATTAACTGATGAAATTTCAGTTTCTTACAAAGTAATGGCATTATCAAAACAGATTATTTAAAGAAACAACTGTTCACTGTTCAATCTACAGTTTCGCTTATTATTGTCTTCACCGCGTTCACTTGATTTTTCTTTTTATCATTTTTCTTTAAATTTTCACTTTTTCCCATTCAGGTTATGTATGCTGTTATAATTTGAGTAGTCTCAATGAATTAGTCTATTCTCCAAAGTATAATCACTTAGCTCCAGTGAAAATGTCTCGTTTGACTAGTAGTCCAGTTATATCAATATCACTTCATCCTTTAAATGGGAATATGTTGTTTGTCCAAGGTAAGTGAATAGGTACTCAATTTGTTTTTCTTTTACTAATTTTACTTGTTAATATATAACCTATATAATTTTTTGATCTAAGTATAAAACTTGGGTACTGTGGTAGAGTGTAACTCTATTATGGATACGATTTTTATTTTTATTAATCACACAGTGTTGTACAGTAATATTAACTGATAACGACGTTTTGAGCACAAATTATTGCTCAAAATCATATCAAGTCACTCACAGAGCTCTCTTGCTTCATTATATACGTAAGTTAAAACTGATTAGGCATTTGATGCTCGCTAGTGACCTGCTACAGGTTGGAGCTTCCTGTAGTTCTAGTGAGAAGTCGTGACCAGTGAGGTGCAATTAGAAGTCACGTGTGTGGATGGATGTCCCACCAACGACAATAGTTGGGGTCGCGCTAAAATCACGAATTGGTAGAAGTTAGAATTCATGAGCCATTGAATCGGGTCCCAGTGGCTGAATGGTATACGAGCTTGCCTTGTAACCGGAAGGTCCTGGGTTCGAATCCCAGTGGGTGCGTACTGCTGATGATCCCCAAAACTAGGATGAAACAGCAGCTGTCCAGTACTCCCTGGTTTTCAATGGTTCTCTAACTGATATCAGTCCGTGATCAACTCGTAAAACATAACTAATCCTTACAAACCAAACTATAGAAAATTTGAATAAAAATCAATATGTGATAATGTACATTCAGAAGTAATAATAATATGAGTGTTATTGATCAATTACAATCAGATGGGAAATAAGGTGTTTTTCATAGTTAAAAAAGTAACTTGTTAGGATGTTATGATGTACGTGAATTGAAATAAAATCTTAAGATTATTCATTATCTTCCTCTGATTTGACTGGTGGTAATAATATCTTCCATGCGTATCTCTGGTATTTGCATTGAGTCATTTCTGTTGCATGTGTTGAGTGTAGACTCGATGAACTAGGATTCAGTAATCAATCTCTCTCTCCACCTACATAGATTACTTCTTAGAATTTTGACTCGGTCCCAGTGTATTGTGTGGTTGTGTGTTCATGTATGCAGTGCAATCGCTGAGCCTTTTTCTAAATTACTTATCTTCTCGGGGTCAGCCATTCTTATCTTAGCTAAATTCTTATGTTCCGACAATCTGATTACCCCCGAGCTACTAATTTGATCTATGTAATTGACTTAACTCACAGTTAATGCAGGTATGTTGTAAGTTATATTATTTTCAAGTGTTGGTTTGTAGGGATTTGATTGGTTACAGGACTTCATCATCATCACTTAGAGAATCATTGGAAAACCAACAGGGAGTACTGGACAGCCAACCGTTTCGTCCCAGTTTGGGACTCTTCACACTACGCACTCACCACCACAGTTCGAACCCAGGACCTTCTGGTTACAAGGCTAGCGAGCTCGTGGACCATTAAGCCACTGGGACCCGATCCAATGGCCCATGAATTCTAATTTCTGCCAATTCATGACATAGCGCAACCCCTAGCCAATGTCTTCTGCGGGTATTTGTCCTCACACCCGACCTGCTGCAGCTTACTGATCACAACTTCTCACTAGAACCCCAGGTAACTACCTACCTGAATCGAGGAAGTCTCTAGTGAGCATCTCATTAAAATTCAAGTGTTGGTTTGTAGGGATTTGATTGGTTACAGGACATCATCATCATGTTATTTTGTCGTATTAAGTCCACTGGGTCCTTTAACCTACAGAGCTTGTCTGTGGGTGAGTTTGTAGGTTTAAATGCCACCCTAATTCCTGCTTTATTAAGAATCCTACGTAGGGTCTCAGATGTCCCCTCCTTATATGGTATAAATGTAGATGTCTTATATTCTTTCTTATTCATGTTATCATTATTATTTTCACCATAATTTTTATTTAGCTTTTGACCTTTTTTTATCTTCCTTATGAATTTTATAGGATAGTTATTTAACATCAACGCTTCTTCTATCTGTTTTATTTCATCGTTTAGGTCTTTTCTTGTACTACTCAATGATATTGCTTAGTTTGTTAGGCACTTAACCAAGCAAAAAATTTGTTACTGACTTGAAATGATTATGAGCAATAATTTGTGTTTGAAACGTCGTTATCAGTTAATATTACTGTACAACACTGTGTAATTAACCAAAATAAAATCTTATCCTTAGAGAGCTACATAATTTTTAATTTGAACAAGATATGGTTGTTGAAAGTCAATGGAGAGATTAGTGAATAATGAATGAACACTGACTTCCATTTCCAGTGTGTAAGTGAAATCGTACTGGGTTATCGTTACATCCAAATGGGAAGTTTCAAAAAGAACGAAATGCACATTCCAAATCCTACAAAAGCGTTTTTGTACTAACCGTGTAATCTGAGTTAAACATTACAGTATTATGCCAACAAGTCCTATCGAGACGCGTAGACGTGATATCCGGCTATCGATCAAAGGGCGGGTGTACTGCTCAGCAGTTCGTTCCGTCCTCTTTTATGGCTCTGAAACCTGGCCATTGAGAGTGGAAGACATGAAAAGACTAGCTGTCTTTGATCGTAAGTGCCTGCGTTCTATCTCTCGTGTGTAGTGGTATAATAGGATGAGCAATATTGAGGTTAAGCATCGGTCGAGTGCTAGGTAGTTGGGAGGGAAAATCAGTCGATGAGGCCGTGAAGTTACATCGACTGAGATGGTTAGGACACGTATTACGCATGCACGCCTAGTCATCGCTGACATGGGGTTAGGTTGGAAAAAAGCCAGTGGTGGTTAAACCAAAACATGGCTTCATCAGTCGACGAAATCCACGACAGTTAGTTTAAGCCAGTCCCGTAGGGAGATGTACACTTCCTGGTTGAAGTTCACGGAAAGGTAAAAACCAGTGGCTGGAAACAATCCGTGATATGGCTCAAAATCGTTCTCAATGGCCAGGGCAGATGCATCCACTCCTTGTGACTTATAATTTCCAATGAAACTATATTGCTCTTCGTTATTACTATTCCTTTTGTCTCACACCTCTGTTTACTGTCTCTGTTGTGCATTTCTTCTACTTTCTTCTCCTGATTTGTGTGCTACATGGAGGGAGTATGGTGACTTGAACTGTTGCACATCAGTGCCAAGTTCTATGTCGAAAATAGACAGACAGATAGACAGAGATCGAGACTCATGAATTCAATAAATACTGATTGGCTGAGTTTTTCACTAAGATCTTTGCTCAATAGTACACCAGTTCAAGGTACCACACTCTACTATAGTGCATAAAAGTAGGGGAAACAATTAAATGCAACTATAATGAACGAAAATATACGGGAGAAAGAATAAGCACATGGAGAATAATGAGAATGTTAATAGATCTAGGAGTTCATAAAGAGTGCAATTATCTGTGTCATTGAGAATAATTTTAAGGCATTTCACCAAGAATCTCCAGCCATCGGTTCTTAGTTTCTCGATGACCCCAACCCAACCTACTTGACTCAAACTAGCAGTTAACATCTGCATGGATTGATATCACATTTTGATTTAACCACCTCTAATACTCTTTTCCTGCCTAGTTCTATGTCAGCTAATATTGTTCATTGAGGAAAGTGATGGCTTTTGGTATGCGATGAAGCTTCACAACCTCATGATTGACTTACCCTCTTCACCTGACACTACACCTAACCTCACTATTACAACAATGTACCACTTAACATTGGAGATAGGATGTAAAACACCTGTGGTCAGATTCGGCTAGCTTCCTAGGATCTTCCACTTTGAATAGTCACATTTCACAGCCATAAAGAAGGACAGGATGAACTACACTGATGAAAGCTGACAAGTGCTCATCAATATTTGGTCTTACACTAGTTGTCAGTACTAAGTCTGTACTAAGAGTACTGTTATGATACTGTCCTTTTGTGAAATAAAAAAAGAAATGATTTCCTTGTTATATAGCTCTATGTATTTTCCATGTAATTTTTAAGTGTTATTAAAATTCAGTTGGAGAAAAAAGCGCATTTTCAACTGAAGCTCAGTTGACAACCAACTATTTTATTAAATGAGACAAAAAGTCAAAAACAATGCTTGATCGATTTTCAAGAAACTAATACTAATTATTCTTTATTTTCAATAGTTAGTTTGTAGGGAGTTAACTTGTTTCAAGCTAGGTAACCAGCTAACATCAGTTGGAGAATCACTGGAAAACCAAGGATTACTGGAGAGCTGTTTCGTCTTGGCTTGGGACTCTTCATCAGCACACATTCACCAGGGTTCAAACCCAAGACCTCCCGGTTACAAGGCAAAAACCCGTTGAGATAATTCAACCATTGAGACCCGACCAAAATGACCTATGAACTCTAGCTTTTACCAATTCGTGATTTTTTAGCTCCACCACCAGCCAGTTTATTTATTTATATTTATTTAAACGCATTAGAACTTGGTACAATATGGCACCAAGAAGGATGCGCCACACAATAATAATAAAACAACATAGATTTAAAAAAAGGAAGGAAGGCAGGAAAAGAAAAAAATATATATAAGTAGAGAACGAATAAAGAACTTCATCTGGAAGGAAAACACTCATTCTTAACAGGTTCAAACAGTGTTCGTTAACTATCATCGGGAATGGAAGAAAGAAGGAAATCGCAACACATTCGCCATTGATTACGATTCTTGGCCATATCCGATAACGTTTCGAGCCATCGATTTGAGCTATCTCTCAGACCCCAACCAGGGAGTCGTGACACACCAACCGATGCTAATCTAGCACAGAAATCCTTCATCCCACGACGCCACGTCATGGGCTGACCACCTCTCCGCCTTTTCCATCCCGTCCCAGGGCTAGCGAACAGAGACCTGTACGGAAGCCTCTGGGGTGACATTCGCAGCACATGTCCAAGCCACCGGAGCCGGTGTTTCCAGATGACGACATTCAATGAATGGTGATCTCCACTGTGTTCAAACACACGCCGCCGAACCTCAGAATTACTCACGCGATGATGCCATCGAACGCAAGCAATCCTGCGGAGACAGCGGTGGTCGAACACGCAGAGTCGCCTCACATCCTCAGCTCGGAGAGGCCAGGTTTCACAGGCGTAGAGCAGCGCAGCCCGCACCGAAGCATTGTATACCCGACCTTTGACAGCCAGGCCAACGTCGCGACGGCGCCAGAGGTGGCTCAAGTTGATGTATGCCACCCTAGCTTTCATTATACGGTTGGAAATCTCATCCGTCACCCCTCCACCAGCACTTACACAACTACCTAGGTACACAAACTTATCGACAACTTCAAGCGGTTCACCCGCAAGAGTGAGTGCAGGTACAGGCTCCTGCCAATCTTGTAACAGTACTTTGCACTTAGACGGCGCAAAGCACATACCATACTTACAGACACTGATCGCCAACTGATTAAGTGCGATTTGGGCAGCCTGCATGCTATCGCACAGTAAGACGATATCGTCTGCATACTCGAGGTCGAAAAGTCTATCTCCAGGTAGCAGATCTACACCACCTTCACGCACATCCTTCAGAGCTGACTCCAGAATGTCATCGATGGCAAAGTTAAAGAAAAATGGTGAGATTGGGCAACCCTGTCTAACCCCACTGTTGGTTGGGAACAGTGGTGATAGTTGGTTGTATGCCCTCACTCTACCTGAGGTGTTTTTGTATAGGGCTTTCAAGATGTTAACAAATTTCTCAGGTACACCTCTCTCTAACAGACAGTTCCAGAGCACAGTTCTGTCCAACGAATCGAAGGCAGCCCTAATATCAAGAAACACAACGATCGTTGGCCTGCAATACGTGTGGCGGTGTTCCAACAACTGACGAAGGGTATCAGTGGTGAGTATTTATCAGATTAATTTTCGAATCTCTATGATGCTCGCTAGTGACTGGGTACAGGATCAAGTCGTCTGGAGTTCCTAGTGAGAAGTCATAACCAGTTGGGTTCACCTGGTGGAGAGTGAAGACAAATACTCGCCACTGACATTGGCTGGTGGTCGTGCTAAAAAGTCACAATTCGGTAAAAGCTAGAGTTCATAGGTCATTTGTTCGGTTCTTAATAGCTAAATGATCTCAGCAGGTTTTGGCTTGTAACTGAAAGGTCCTGGGTTGGAACCCTGGTGGATGTATGCTGAGGAAGATTCCCAAGCTTAGACGAATTAGCTACCCAGTACTCCCTGATTTCCAATGGTTCTTTATTTGTTTTCATCTCTGAAGTACATCTGACATAAATTCACCACAGTATTACGTTGAGAGAATCGAGAATCGGGAAGGCGAGAAACACATTCATCAACCTGAAACCAATCTGGAAATCTTCGTCACTCATCATTAACAACAAAATTCGAATTTTCAATACAAACAAAGTCAAGTCAGTTCTTCTATACGGATCAGAAACTTGGCGGGTCACAAAGAATATTTCCAACAGCCTGTTGCAGACCTTTATCAACAGTTGTCTTCATTCTATATTCAAGATCAGATAGCAGGAAAGAATCACCAACAAGAAACTATGGGAACAAACAAAACAAGAACCAATCGCTCAACAAATATGCAGGAGAAAGTGGAGATGGATTGGACACTCACTGGCTGAGGAGGCCGCTGGGTGACATCGCGCGTCAGGCCATAGGTCGAGTGGAACGTGAAAGGGAAGCGGCGAGTGGGACGTCCCAGGGTGACATGGAGGAGATCGTGTGAAGAAGAGTTGAAACAGTATGGATTAACATGGATGCAGGTGAAAAGTACATCAGAAGACAGAAGCAAGTGGAGACGTACAGTTGAAGCCCTATGTTCCACTAGGAACCCAAGGGAACAATAATAATAATAATAATGTCAAATAAGGTTTATACTGATACTTATCTCATGGACATCTCATACGCATACTACCAATAAATTGTAATAAACAAAATTCCCACGTTTATAGACTCTTGCCAATGACACTTTCTGCATGACATTATCTTATAGAGAAAATAAAATATCTTGAATAATAATAATAAAAGGAAATCAGATATACATCTAGCCTTATTCTTTATATACGTCATTAATGCATTTTAATTCATAATACACTGCTTGCTTTGCTGTCTTTTTCTCCACAACCCTAGGCTTAGAACGTATAGCTGGTGTATGGGATTTAAATGATTCAGTATGCTTTACATCAGAATCTGGAGAAATCACTTGGAAACCAGTGCATGGTTTTATGGGACATGAAGCTATGTGGATCAGTAATGGTGAATTCTTAGTTAGTTCACGTGAAGCATGGTTTACATCAGCAGTGTGCAAAAGTAATCAACATCCAAAATGGGGTGCATTATTTGACAATATGGATAATTGTATATGCCAATTTTTACCATCTGAACCAAATGAAGGTTGTAGTCATTTAGTACCACTTGGAATTCAATCACTTACAGTAAGAATAATCTTTGATTATGCCTTTTTTCTCTCTCCTCCCCATGTGTATAACTTACCAGTTTTATCCCACGAAAGGCTGTGTAGAAAATAAAGTGAAATTTTGTCCATTTGGTTTGAACTATGATACTTTGTAATCGAACTGGTTGCACGTCTTAGTTGATTTCTTTTATCGACATTACAATATCACAAACTAAGTATATTATTATTTTACTATTGTTCCCTTGGGTTGCGAGTAGAACATTAGTATTCAACAGCACCACGCCACTATGTCCCATTCTCAGCGACCCTCTTAACCTGAGACCCCACGATTGCCCATAGTCTCTCATCCTCCTCCCATCATCTCCTCTATGTCACCGTCGGATGCCCCACTCATCGTTTCCCATCCTGGTTCCACTTGAGGGTTTGCCTGGCGCTTGATTTCAATCAACAATTTTCCTCAGCGTGTGTCCGATCCACCTCTATTTTTATCGGCACATATGTTGGATCAGTAATATTAATATATGTGTAAAACTTGGGCACTGTAGTAGTAAGTAATTCCATATCAGTTTGTTTATTAGATGTATCACACAGTGAAACAGTATTATTTACTGGATGATACAGTTTCGAACAAAATTTATTGTTCATAATCATATCAATTATAATCACACGACTTTGACACTTGAGTTTTATAGTTTTCTTTGTTCTCTCCTATTTGTCGTCGTTGTGGTATTGGAATTTTCTAGATACCTGTGACAGGTGTTGAATCATCCCAATTACATGAGTTTGCATTTGATTCTATAAACAAAGCTTCTGTTATCAATCTCTCCCTCCACCTTGGGACATTAGATTTTAAAACTGTCATCCTATCCCATCTTATTGTATGGTTATGTGTAATTGCATGTAGTGCTATAGCTGAACTATTCTCTAGATTTCTTATCTTATTCGGGTCAACCAATCTAGTGCCACTTGAGGACATAACGGTGAGAATGCAGCTATGCCTAACTTCCACAGTATTTAAATTCCAGGGGAGAATATACAAACAAACTGAGGGAGTTGCCATGGGGTTAGCAGTATCCCCGGTTGTGGCAGATATATTCATGAATTTCGCAAAATCTAGATTAGTTGACCCGAATAAGATAAGAAATCTAGAGAATAGTTCAGCTATAACACTTAATACATGCAATTACACACAACCATACAATAGGATGGGATAGGATGTCAGTTTTGAAATCTAATGTAACAGGCTGGAGGGAGAGATTGATAACAGAAGCTTGTTTTATCGAATCAACTGCAAATACATGTAATAGGAATGATTCATCACCTGTCCCAGATATCTGGAAAATTCTACTACCCATACGATAAATAGGAGAGAACAAAGAAAACTATAAAAGTCAAGTTTCGAAATCGAGTGATTATAATTGACATGATTATAAACAATAAATTGTGTTCGAAACTGTATCATCCAGTAAATAATACTGTTTCACTGTGTGATATATCTAATAAACAAACTAATATGGATCAGTAATACTTTCTTGATTGGTTCGTTTCCAGAGTCTCTTGTTGCTAATTCTTTCTGGCCATTTGGTCGTGAAGGTGGCGTCTGTTGATAAAATTCTTGAATAGCCTGTTGGAATTGCTTTTTGTGACGCACCAAGTTTGTAACCCACATAGAAGAAGTGACTAACTTAACATTGCTGTCGAAAATCCTAATTTCGTTATTTACTCTGAGTACAAAAGATTTACAGACTGACTTCAGATTGATGAGGGTTTGTCTTACCTTTCCAATCTTGGTCTTAACATTATCATTCGTGCTGTCACCTGTAGTTGAAACGATGACACATAGACAAGTGCAGGAAGCGACCTCTTCTTCTGTTGACAGTAATTGGTGCTTGTAGTTATTGTTGTTGTTTAGGCGTCTTCATCACCTCCATCTTCTGTATGTTCACTTGACGCCTTGTCTTCGCTGCCTGCCTCTTCAGCCAGTTTGTTGGTTTTCATTTGCAAGTCTTCGAGTTTGTCTGACATTAGACATATACCATCCACACCCGAAATCCATATATTCTAGAGTTTCCTTATCGGTCAGTGCAGCGTATTCCTATTTTCTCACTCTCATGTACAGTCTGATGCATAATCCAATCCACCACAATTAAGAATATTATTGGTGCTAATAGGCAGCCTTGTCTTACTCCTGTGCTTACTTCGAACGCCTCGCTGAGTTTTCCGTTGTAGACCACTGTCATATAGCTAATGAATGAGGCTGATAGGGATTTTCGGCACTGCACTCCATAGTTTTCAAATAGTTTCCAAATTATTTCTTGGTCAGCGCTGTCGAAAGCTTTAACTAAATAAAAGTCACTTCTTATTACTATTATTATACTGTATAGAATTGATTACCTTTTGACTATGATTCTATGGTTTACACTTCAATCTAATTAGCCCGTTTTGTTAATTAAACAGTTCTATGTGAAAATTAATTACAGTTTCTTTAAAAAACCCAAAATATTCACATTACAGTGTGGGGCGTAATTGATACTATAAGATGGAAGTGCGTCTCATTGTCTTCTACACTTAACTCTCAATCATTGGGTATCGGATTCAAATCCCACTACACCTACTTCAGCCTTGGGGACCATCTCGTAGTAACAGAAGCACTCACACGATAATTGTGTGTGTGTGTATGTTACAAACTAAGCTTACCGTTCTGTCGCCTTTTTCAGATAAGTATGATAAGGACTCTATGACGTCAGCTGATAGAGTGTCTTCCGGTTTGTGTAAACCTGACCAACCATCTTTTAGTGTAGAACAAAATTTCAGTTAGTTTATAAGATGTATTTCACGACTGTAGTCCAGTAGTAGAATACTCATCAGCCACACATGTGGTCCGGAGTTCGATTCCCGGTTGACATGCTTCTAAACTTCGCTTGGTCAACAAAGTGGTAATAAGCCGAGCAACCTCCACCCCGTAGAAATAAAACACCACTGTTACTGAAACTTCAAAGCCTCAAGTCCTAAGTTCCACTCGGAAAGCAAAAGAATAAAAATTTTAAAAAATGTGTAGCGTAGGAATTTTTTACAGCATAAAATGAAGGGGTTGTGTTTCTATCATCTGCTATGAGAGCTCTCGAAAAATCTCTTGAATATCTATATATTTACGAAACATCTGAGCGTGTTAGTGTGTGGTAATGTATTTTATGCATGCTAACCGTTTTCCGCCTTATCTTACAGAAACGTTAGTTTTCTCGCTGCTGGTTGCGACATGTACATTAATCAGTAGATAATTACTCACGTTGTTCAACAACAACAACATACGGTTTATTACAATCACATTCGTGATGGTGGTTGTTTGTATACAATGATATTTGTTTTTGATCCTGGTAATTATTTGAGCAAAATTACACCTCTTAATTACATGAATTGTTGAAATTTTCTTATCCATACGTTAACAAGTCGTGTGCGTATGTATATAGTATATTGTAGGGGACATTTATGAATATATAGATTATGTCATCGGTCTTTCTCTCCACTTGATTTATACATATTTTTGTGTTTCTATGGATTCACTGTTGGTTTAAACACATATACTCATTCAATGCTTACCTTGAACGACCTTGATTATTGACCTGCATAGTTGACCGGCTGCTGTAGACACTGCCGAAATGGGAAGCTTATCTATTATTGTGTGTGTAACCAACCACTACAAATGTGATCATAATAAATTCATCCATTCCACAATACACAAGCTTTCCACAGACGTCATCAACCGCCTTACCTTTCGATTTACTGGCCTTTAAAGCTCACTGCTACTAATTGACTGACCGCTGAAATCTCAGCGATTAGAGAGGGTTTTGAGTTTTATCTGCTTTTAGGAAACTATGTCCATAATTCCATATCTCGCTTGTTTCCTTCGTATGCATAGAAATGTTGATATATGTTGCCTTTCAGTGGAGACTATTATTAGGTGGTTAGAGGCAATCGTCAGGAAGTCTTAGACACCTAGGTTTCGTGCTTGTTGGCACCCACCAGTCAGTCAGGCGTATCTGCAATCTTGAAGGAACGCATGTACCCTCTGAGGTTTGAACCCATGCCACACAGCGTTAAATTCAGAAACGTTGTCACTAAGCTATTCTGACTTGCGTTTGACCTCCTGTAGGACTGTCTAGTTGTCTAATCCTTGGGTTGGTGCAGACTGAATTCTATCAGTCAAGTTAACAATGTGGTTACCAGCCAGGTTAACCACCACCATGGTGCACACTGAAATGACGTTAGATAGTTGGACATGAATTCTTTCAGGATTGCAGGCTTGCCTTGTTGCCAGGTGAGTGCCAACAAGCACGAAACCCAGATCCAAGAGGTCCTAGCGATTGCCTCCAACCATCTAAAAAAACAGTTCAGAGTGCACCGTGATAGCCAGCCACCCAACATGATGACCAAATTGCAAACACGACTGATAGAATTCAGCCTACATCAAACCGAGGACTGGACACATGAAATTGGTTACCACATAATGTCCATTCGATGTAAGATGATTAATAATTTATTGTATTTCCTCCTAAATCAACTACTCAAATTTATTTTAAGTAGTAACCTCCTATACTGTGTAAATTTTTGATTACTTCTTTAGCTTTAAAATATCTAAATTAGTTGTATGCTTTTTTATGTTTGTTGTTCATGTTATATGAGACACCAGGTGTATGTTCTAAATCCATTAGATATTTTTTTAGTGTATACCTTTCTTAGTAGTTAGCTTCAATTGTTAGAAAATGTAATTTACTACAGCTGAATGCATTCTAATATAGTAATTTTTTTTATGCAAATCTAATATGCATTATATGATTATGCTTGTTGACATTTTTTCATTCTAGAACTTTAGATTATTCTATACAATGCGATGAACACCTTAGAATTGGTTGTAACAGTGAAATGTAGAGACTGGGGGAGAGGGGTGGAAATAAAGCACCAATAACTTGGAAGTCTATTACAACATGGTTAGCATATTTATTCTATAAGTGGTACTCTTTATAGAAGTGTGACTGTAATCACACAATAGATGATGACTAGAATATCATTGAAACTTATGACTGAATGAAAAGCATCTCTGGAGAACACTTCGACCAAATTATTTTCACACTCTAAGTTACAAATATTCTCTCCATCCATTGTATGCCGCATCTCTACATTTCTTTTTTCTTTTCATCTCTTTGGTTTCTGAGTAGAACACAAGGCTTCACACTTGAGCTTTGACATTTCAATAGCAGAAGTATTTTTAAGGGGTAAGGTTGCCAGAATCACACCTAGCCTGCCCTCTTTACCAGGCTTCCCAGCATATGGGTGGGGTTTTAAACTGCATCGGCCTGGAATCGGACCTCTGACCACGTGATTTATTGGTGCCGATGGATATCTCTATATACGGAAGTGTATTGCTATTAAAGAAATGGAACAGTTTCATCCGAGGAAAGGGAGTGTGTATATAATGGATGATTAAAAGTCTTGAAAATGACTAAAGGGTAAATTCATGTCTGTAGACAATTTTATAGCTTATCATGACGACTTTTCAGATAGTATTTTGAAATACTGATAGTGTTGTAGGAGTTAGCATCGATAACGACAAAATGAAGCTCACCTAACGCAGAGTGCGTAGGGAGAGTTTGACATGCCTCCTGGAAATAACTCCCATTGTTTCCACAGTAGCTTGTAAATTCAAGCTTACTTCTGATTTCTGTAAACTGTGGGGGCTAAAGTATGGAAATGAGCAGACATAACAATACTTTTGCTCACAGGATTTCATCATGAGCTGACATTGGTTAGAGAACCATTGGGAAACCAACAGGGAGTACCGGACAGCTGTTTCGTCCCACTAGTTTGGGGCTCTTCAGCGGCACGCGCCCATCAGCAGGGTTTGAACCCAGGTCCTTCTGGTTAGAAAGCTAGTGAGCTCGTAGACCATTAAGTCACTGGACCTGATCCAATGACCAACCCATGAATTCTAAATTCTGCCAATTCACGACATAGCGGGACCACTAGCCAATGTCTTCGGCGAGTATTTGTCCTCATTTAGTGGGCTAATTCATTTTTTTTTGTGAGAAGTGTGTTTCATCTAGGTGAAGTCGTTAAGATGTTGAAGTTTCCAGTTGATGTGAGTCAAAATCGATCTTACTACACAGAAATGTAAAATTTTCATAATTAGAATTTTGAACTCCTTACTAGTGTTTATTATTTGCTATAGATCACGATCTTCTCATTTATTTTGTTACCTTCTCATTGTTCTTAATTTCTTGTTTATGCTATTACAAATGTGGAGCAGATTGACTTTCGTACACTGATTATCTCTCTCTATTATGTGATAGCTAAAGTCTACCCTCTTGTGCTGCCTGAAATTACAGTAGGTAAGACTGAATTCAAATCCATAGAAGCTTAGTTCATAGTCAGCCAGCTAAGTCATTGAGAAAAAACTGTTTAAATTATTATGCTTAGGATATTTTGAAGAAAAAAAAATGATGATAGCAGAAGTAATGATGAATCTGACGAATAAATAGTAGTTTTGACAGATGGAAGTTTAAAGATTGAATGTACTCTTAGCCTTCATGCACTATAGGTAAAACATTTGTTCCTAGTGGAGATGATAATAGTCTAAGGAAGTAACATTCTATTAGAAGGCTAAGACAGTTCTTTCAATGGGTTTTCCTATGAAAGCAGAAAACATGAAATAAAATACGACATATACATTAAAATGTATCGATTAGATGCTCACTAGCAACTTACCCTATTCAGGTAGGTAGTTACCTGGGGTTCTAGTGCGAAGTCGTTACCAGTAGGATGTAGAAGGTCGGGTGTGAGGACAAATACTCACCGAAGACATTGGCTAGTGGTCGCGCTATGTCGTGAATTGGCAGAATTCATGGGCCATTGGATTGGGGCCCAGTGCCTGAATGGTCTACTAGCTCACCGGCCTTGTAACCAGAAGGTCCTGGGTTCGAACTGTGGTGGGGTGCGTACTGATGAAGAGTCCCAAACTGGGACGAAACAGCCGTCCAGTACTCCCTGTTGGTTTTCCAATGGTTCTCTGACCAATTTCAGCTCATGATGAAATCCTGTAACCAATCAAATCCCTACAAACCAACACTTGAGTGTAACTGTATAAGTTTTGCGAATAGAGATATTGCTGCCTTAGCAATTCTGTCACTTTAAAGGTGTTTCACTGTCTCTTATGCCTGGGTTTACATCTTTTGCAGCTATAGTGACCTACTTAAAAATCACTAGGTTACCTAATTTTGTTATCCATCATAATGTATAAACACTTCTCCATTTCTTATTATTTTAATCATGAAATTATGTCTTTGGATTGTGAAATGAAATCACGCACATTTTTAATTAACTTCCAACGTGATGCTGTTCACTTCTTGAAGGATTTGAAGCAACACTTTGTCACATATAATACTTAGATTATGAGGGTTATTTTTTTCACGGGGCACTCAATTCCAGCCTTAGAGTTTAATCTAGTAACCTGAAAGATTCTATCCGTGATGGGGTGTGGGTGCACGCCTCTGAAGCGTTCCAAACTAGGACGAAACAACTGTAACGGCTCTGGTTTTCAATGATCTCTAACTGCTACATTTAAACACGCTTAGAATTCTTTAGTATAAATTTTAGCTTATTGAATTGAAATGCCAACTGGCAAATTAATTTTGCTATTTACACTGTACACAGATGGAGGTGAAATTTTACCACAGTTTCCTTTGGAAACTGAAATTATTCAGATTTCAACAACGAATCTTTTTAATGCCATAAATGACAATCAAGAAACTAGTCATAAATACATGGTGCTATGTAGTACAAATTGATCGATATATGTCATTGAGTACTACTCATATGATGAGCCAGTAGTGCTTACTAGCCAGATCGAAGTGGTCTGAACACTGAACGGTCCTTTACCTCAATGGAGACTGATCTCATCGGCAGTAAACCCGTAATTTAGATGGTTTAAACTGATTCGGCTCTCTGAGCTTGATCAAACCGGAAATACAGACAACTGGAACAGCCTGCTTCGATCTGGCTGGCGAGTACTACTGGTTGGTGTGAATGGTATTCAACTACTCATATCAGTCAGTCAGTAGTTTATAGCGTCTTGTTATTATTTTTGGCATTTGATCACCATCTCAGCTTCGTCATACTTCTGTTGCCCCTTAGTTAGATTCTTCTTATTGTTAAAGAAATGCATATTGATTAATGTTGGGTTAGATGTATATACTGTCACACAAGTTTCTTTAGCTGTTCTACTGCACTGGCTTTAGTGGTTAGTGTCTAACTCAGTTGCTATGGCATTCTGAAAATCATTTTTATCATGATTACAAGCTATTTCTATTTGTGAATGGTAGGTAGCACAAGGACAAAAAACGGTCCAGCTTTAGATACACTTCTTAGCTCAGTATCAAAGTCTATACTGCCTTCTTGATTCTCAGTATGAAAAATATCTTCTCGGTTGGCAAACCATACTATTGACTGAATTTGTTAGTAGTAGTAGTAGTAGTAGTAGTCAGCGCGCATGATCTCTTAAAAGTGCACTTTGATGTATGCATTTTCCTTTATCATTGAGTTGCAGGGGGGGGGGGTTATGTACATTGAATGAAAATATTATTTTGTTTCATGACCCACTGAAGACTGTTACTGCCATAGTCATTATTTTGAAATCAAACAATCAAGAAGCTAATTCTGCAATTTTCTTCTATTTTTTTCATTTTTTTTCTTCTCTTATTCTGATTAGAGTGTAGATTTCAGTGATGCCCTGAATGCTGTGATTTGTAGTACAGACAGAGGACGTATCGAAGCAGTTGCTGAATCTGCAGAAAAGCGTAAATGTGATCCAGCTCGTCCAAAGTATATTCCTGAGGTTAGAATGATAAACAAGCAATTTTACATTCTCTTATTCAACTAATTCTTTTTTTTCACATTCATATAATAATTTTTTGAAAAAGGGTATTTCTGCTATATTTCCTGGACTATGTAGTAAAGTAATAGTTTTTATTTGGTAAAATGGTTTTTTTTCTCTCATTGAAACACCTCTATGCTTCCTTTATCAATCTTTATATGTTATTAAAAATCCGGCGAAATTACTTAGAGTTTAGGAAAGAGGAGGAATTCAAAGATGTGCGTCGGTGGCACAGCGGTTAGGATGCTCGCCGACCATGCACATGGACCGGGGTTCGATCCCCGGCCACCGACGCACTCCTTTTACTCGCTAAGCCAGTAATAAGACCGGTAAAGAGGGAAGGTTGGGCATGAGGCTAACAACCCCATCCTGTAAAAATACGCCCTGCTACAGAAACCTCAAGTCTCTAGCTTGAAGCCTTATGTTCCACTGGGAACGTGAAGGAATAAAAAAAAAGAAGTTCAAAGATATTTGCAGTTTACTTTTTTTCAGCCAATCAGTTAGTTGATGCTCAAAATAGTCTTTTAGGAGTATGAGGGCCTTTGAACCCGTCATTAATTCGTTGTATCATTCATAATCCATTTTTTGGATACAGGACACACAGTAATTGAAGATGATTATACACTTCAAATCTTTTTGTGACACTTTGCCCAGAAGTGCAGCAGTTCAGGTTGTCACATTCCATATAGAATACACAGGTAGACAAAATGAAGGAAATGATGTATACAAGAGTAATTTAATAAGCTGAAATGTGAAGGATAAAGAATAATACCATAGATAAAAATAAGGGTTTCAATGGATATTGGAGATCACAATGAGTCAACACATCTGCGCTATTGAAAATCATTTAGAGCCATGTCACCAGTAGTCTCCATCCATTGATAGTTATCATCCCGAGGACTTCGACCAACCAAGCAGTCTACACCTTCCTACGTAGTTCAAACTAAACGTCTGTCTGTCTGTCTGTTTTCGACATAGAACTTTGCACATATGTGCGGCAGTTCGAGTCGCCACACTCCATCCTTGTAGCACACAAAGCAAGAGAAAGTAGGAGAAATGCATAATATAGACAGTAAACAAAAGTGTGAGACAAAGGAATAGTAATAACGAAGAACAAAACAGTTTCATTTGAAATCATAAGTCACAAGGAGTGGATGCATCTGCGCCATCCATTGAGAACGATTTTGGGCCATATCACCAATTGTTTCCAACCATTGGTTTTTACCGTCCCGAGGACCCCAACCAGGAAGTCTACAACTTCCTACGTGGCCCAGACTAACTGTTATGGATTTCATTGGCTGGTGCTTTGTCTTGGTTTGACCGCCGCTAGCTCTTTTCCAGCCTGACCCTATATCAGCTAACATTGCCTGTAGGTCGAGGAAGGCGATGACTAGGCGTGGATGCGTAACACATATCCTAACCATCTCAGTCGGTGTAATTTCAAAGACAAGGCAATCCCTTAGTCAGTAAAGCCAGTTATAGTCAATTTCATTATTACACCTGTAATGAAATTAAACAAAACAAATGGGGACAGTGAACGATACTGCTAGTTGTTGTCACTTCAGATGACAACTATGCAGAAGCTCTTACACGGTTTCATGATTCCGAGTCGAATGTCTTGATTAGTGCGGTATTCTTCTTCAGCATTCACCTCACTGCCAAACACTGTCATAACACTTTAAGTTTCACGGAGTTGAATTCCGCCTTTAGGTCAAGAAACCTGGCAATTGTTCGATGCTGGTAAGTATGTCTGTATTTCAGAATCTGTTAGAGGAAGGGATGAAGATATGATCAATACACCCTCTTGTTACTCTAAAGTCTACCAGGTTTCCCCGTGTTTTGTTTCTCTGCAGCACCAGTTAACCTACGCATGATTATTAAGCCTAAAACGTTAGATGCTATGTTGGTCACAGGAAGACTTGTCTCCCTTCTTATGAACTTCGATACACCAGTCGTCTAACAGAAATATCTCTGATTCCTAGACGCTATCTAATATATTAGTTAACGCAGACAACAGTTCATCACCAATACTCTTAGAACTTACTGGACATTTTTCAGGTTATTCATTCCTCTTGCCTCCTGTCTTTCATTTGGCTCACTATATAAAACTTTAGGAAATATACAACATAAAATGATTGTAAGTGTATTTTTATAGTATACCCCATTAAGAAAAAAATAAAGTGTCTGTTTCTTTTTTTGGAACTATCAAATAAATTACTATCAAAATATGACGTAAAGAACTATCTAAGCCATGTGATGTGTATCTTGATCCATAACTTAATCTAATTAACTGTGCTTTTTTTAAACAATACAAAGATGTAATTCTTTTTTTTGACTGCAGCTTTTACTGCTAACAACTGATCTAAACCTATAAAACACAAAATAACTGAGTAAAGAATATCCTTTTCGGTAATTTCCGCTTCTGGATCTACAATTATACAGAAGTTAGAATTCAAGGACTATTGGATCGGGTCCCAGTGGCTCAGTGGTCTACGAGCTCGCTAGCCTTGTAACCAGAAGGTCCTGGGTTCGAACCCCCCGTGGTGGGTGCGTACTGCTGAAGAGTCACAAACTGGGATGAAACAGCTGTCCAGTACTCCCAGATTTTCCAGTGGTTCTTTAACTGATGTCAGTTCATGATGAAATCCTCGATGCAATCAAACAAAAATCCCTACTAAACCAATACTTGAAAATTACACATATGTTTATATACATAGAATAATTTAGAGTAGTAGTCAATGACAATATTGCTATTTTTTAAATAATATCGATTTGTAAAGTAAGTAAGTTCATTGAAGATGCATAAATTATAATAATAATAATAAAATAGCAAACAGAATATCAACTAAAATTAGTGGAAATTTCCGCAAAAATTGAGGATCATTGAAACCTAAATGGCCGAGGAAAGGATAATGTCTGAACTAGCTTCTTTTGGACACATAAATTAGGCTTCTTAATGTGGATCCCAACAGCCAGCCTCAGCAATATTTAGTAATCGAACTCTTAATGCGAAATTGAGATTTGTTGGTATGCGGTAAATGACCCTGGAAGCCTGGTTAACTATCAGTCTTGTGTTCTGTATCCACAAGATGAGAAAGAATAGAGCTACGAATAGATTTTATTTATCCTTTACTTAAACACGCAGGGTAATGTTTGGAAATCCGTACAATTAAGCGTGTTTCTCCTTAGATTTCCGAACATCACCCTGCGTGGTTAAGTAAAGCAAATACAAAATCCGTTAATAGCGCTATTCTGTCTCATCTTGTAGATGCAGAATACAAGATTGATGTCAACAAGGCTTTCAAAGTTATTTAGCACATACTAACAAACCTTAACTTCACCTTAAGAGTTCGTCTACTACATATTTCTGAGGCCGTTGGGATCCACTTTAAGAAACCTAACTTACATGTAGAAAAGGAGTTGGTTCAGACACTTCCCTTACCCCACTGGTCATCAAGGTTTTAGTAATCCTCAATTTTTCGTAGAAATTTCCTCACTTTTATTTGATATTCTATTCGCTATCACATTTCTATGCTTATTATAATTTATGCATCTTTAACGAACTGTAATTCCATTCATCTTACTTCACAAATCGATATTATTTAAAAAAACGCCAGTATTGTTATTGACTACTATACTTGAATATTCTATGTATATAAACATATGCATGTAATTGTAGATCCAGAAGAGGAAATTACCGAAGAGGATATTCTTTGCTCAATTATTTTGTGTTTTATAGATGTCTGAATGAATATTTTCACTGTATTCATATAAGTTGTCCTGATTAGGATTTCTAAGATATTTTCATGGTGGTGAATACTTGAAAAACATTTAAGTAGTAAATACATATCTCAAAAATGATTGATCACAAGATGATAGTGTGGTAACACTGCGCACTTTACTCTTTCTATTTCGGCCAGTCTTCTCTTCTTTTTGATGTTCTAAGAGAATGTATAGTGTTACTTTATTATTATTTTCAAGACATTTCGAATTACTATTTGTCTATTTGTGTGATAGTTATATTTTCTATAAGTCATTTGTTAATAACAAACTGAAAATTATTCAAAGATAATATTCCTCTTGTTCTTGCTTTATTCTCTAATAATTCTGTTTCTTTTGCTCCTTACTATTATTATTTGTGTAATGTATTTTTCCAGGTTAATCGGGAGTATGTGATGCATTAGTGTAATACGTATATTGGACAGTTTGATCATTTATAAACAAAGTCCGTACTTTTTAAATCTTTGTTCAACATATGTACTATATGAGAGAACATGCCTTTACAAAATCCTAATTGTCCAAAATGAAAACGCATACATCATTGTGTTGCTTGTAATTATTCATATAGGATTCCTGCTGCGTAATTCTTACAGTAGTTTTTTCAAGTTTTGGTTTGCAGGGATTTTATTGACCACAGATTTCATCACGAGCTGACACTAGTTAAAGGAATAAATACTGGCAAACCAGGGAGTATTAGACAGGTGTTTCGTCCTAATTTGAGACTTTTCAGAAAGGTTGGAACCCAGGACTTTCCCGTTAAAAGGAAAACTTGTAAACCCCTCAGTCACTGCGACAGGACTTGAAACTTATAGGCCGTTGGATCAATTCTCAGTGGTTGATTGGTGTGTTAGAGTCTCCTGAACATCTTTAGGAGCAGCAGTCTTCGAATATTTGGCATTTCTAAGTATGCTGAAATGAAAGCGCTACAAGTTTTATTTGTGATTCTGTATATCCTCTCCCCATTTTTTGATATGTTAAGGATCAGAACTAAAGTAAAATTTGGTTACTTACAAGCAAATTTGATTCTTCCATCTTTCAAGTATTAATTTTGTAGAGATTTTGTTTGATTGGTCGGAGGATTTCATCATGCGTACTGATGAAGAATCCCAAACTAGGACAAAACAGTTGTGCATCACTTCCAGGTTTTCCAGTGGTTCTCCAACTGATGTCAGCTCATGATG